GCTCTTTTAGTCGTTCGGCAGAAATTGAGAAGTACTTGATAGTTTTACAGAGAGGTGATGTAATATTAATACCTCATGAGATACCACACACATACAGCATTGTAAGCTAACATTACAAAAAATTATAAAACATCGAAAAAACTTTACTTTGATAACTTTTTCAATTCGAGAAAAAATGTCGAGAAACAAACGATAGCTTCCAATATGATTTTAAAAAAACATTGAGGGGGAAATTTAGCCGAGAAAATTTGGGTAGACGCCGGTTGAACTGAAAATAATTTGTTGCCATCAAAAAATGTTTGAGCTATTTTTTTTTTGAAACTACACAGGAAATATAAAAAGATGGAAATCTATTTTTCTATCAAACAGCGCAATATTAATTAACGAAGGTGATGTAAAACAAGCCCAAAAGAATTATGCCGAACAAACTTTTTGAACTGAAAGAAAAATAAAGACGGAAGTGAAGCTGAGCTTCGCACCACTTGCGATACAAAACAAGAAAGCCGCTAAGTTGTCAAAGCCGCGAAATAGGAAAGCCGCGAAAATAAAAAAAAATAGATCCATCAAAACTAATAAGGCATATTTTCAAAAAAGAAAAAACGAACAAAAATAAGCGTCGAAAAAAATTATCAAGCAGTTACGCCGAAAATACCTTAACAGAAACGCTTGAAGCCGAAAAAAGTTTTAAAAATCTTATAAGTTTTTTTCACCCTTACACACAAACTAACTTTAATCGCGCGTCAAATAAAGCAATATGGGGCAACTAAGCCGATACAAAATTAGCGGAAACCGATTAAGCCGAACAAAAAAACGCCATATCGACCGACGCAATATGAGGCAACTAAGCCGATGTAATAAAGACTTTAACCTATTAGGTCAAGGAAAAGAAGAAAATAAAATGCAGGCGAAGCTGAGCTTCGCACCACTTGCGATAAAACACAAGCATAAAAACAGAAATCGAAAAAATGAAAAACGTTGAAAAAAAATAACTCTACCAAAAATTAATTTTTGAATCTCTTGATAAAAGTTAACTCTAGACTAACATACCAGACAATTGAGTATTAAATTAGCAACGGAACAAAACTTACGAAGAGGAAACAAAGCGGACAATCTTCAAGCAGACACAAATTGAGACCAAAAAAATTAGATTTCATAAAAAACTTCAGTTTCAAGTCCCACCAGAGACTACAATGGACAACACTTGCACCTGCAAATACAAGGGAAGTTGCTTACAGCACAAGAGAAATCATTGATGTGGCAACTAAGCCGACAAAACTTCAGCTGAATAATGGAAGTCCTACAATTTTGGTTTTACATAATTTTTTTTTCAATTGCATACATACTGAAAAAACAAGGTCCGGCCGAGACTCGAACCCCAGTCCGTTGGATACAAAAGCGACAGCGTTACCTCTAGGTCACGTGGAAAGGAACCTGGAAGTTTCAAACGTTTACTAATTAAGCAGGTTGAAGAAACGTTAAAATGTGCAAGAAAAGTTCTTTACTGGAAAAAAATCTGGTTTCTCTCGCAAGTTTAAAATACCTGAATGTGTTGAACATGAGTTTTTTGCTCTCGAAACAACGCTAAAAGTTCATTATGCAATAACAGATAAGTCGAAACCGTTCAATCGAAAAAAAAACTTTTATAAAAAAAAAATTATTTCAAATCAGACTTGGTAAAATGACAAGTTTCAAACTTTCAAGTAGCGTAAAAAAAATTTAAATTAAAAGAAAATACATGCTCAACAAAAATAACAGATAAAAAACAGCACCAAAAAATACAAACTCAATAAAAAACGAAATGAACCGCCGGAAACAAGACCGAAAAACACGAATCTGAAAAAGCAAGGGTAAGATTATATATACTTAAAATTAGGACTGAGATCTCAGAGACTGGAATAAGGCTCTACAGAGGCATCCGAACACGACTGCAGTGCGAGACAGACGCGACGACCAAACTGACAACCTTACCCTTTAAATACTGAAAACATAGCCAACTGACAGTTGAAAAAGAGTAATGAACGCAAAGAAACAGAAAAAAACTTGTTAAAAAAATTAATTTTCGAATTTTGCCCATACAGCTCTTTGAACCTCAAAAACAATTTATAGTGGTGCTTTTTTGATAAAATTAACCCAATTTGAGAAAACTGGATCAATGAGAAACCTATTCCGCTAGGAAAACTGAACATGAAAATCTTTTTTTTCGAAACCGGAAGTCGATCACATTTTTGAGAACTATACACTTTTGCTGTTCGATAGTGGAGTTTGCTTTTTTTCTAACAAACGAAAAGAACTAAACTTAGAAAGAAATCAAAATTGAGCGTCAATAAATTCAGGACTTTTTCCTGCAAAAACTCCAAGAGCTTAATAAGAGTACCCACCACGTTCATTACTCTTAAGAAACGAATCACTAAGTAAGTACCCTTCTGTACACATAAGCAGGAGGCGACTATTCTCAACGGTAGATCGGGCGGCAGATACTGATTCATGCTAAATACAGCCCTGATTCCAAACGTAAGCGCAGCGGAGCGACAGAGCAAGTTTTCGCCACTTACCGAGGCCTCATTTCTTTTTTGTCGCCCAACCATAAAGAAATACTATAAAACAAGGCAACCATTCCAGAACAACTACTTAGCCATTCACAAATGATGAAAAACGACGTAAAAGACGAAAAACTTCAGCGCTGCCCTTCAATGGCTCCACTACATCATTCTACGAAAAAGGAAGAAACAAAACTATACTAAAATATTAATAAGGCACCTTATTCGGCCAACTTCAGTAATCAATAATTACTAGCTCAAGTGTTATTTTTTAGACTTAACAGACCTCTTTAAATATCACCCTCCCCCTTGGTACCTAGTAACGAATTGAAACTACTTCAACGGTTAAGCATTTGTGAACTTTGTACCTAGTAACGAATCTCTCCCCCGGTCCCCCTTTGCAGTTATGCGTTTCTTGACTAGTGACGCTTTGTAAGGACCCAATTAGATTGCCTCAACTCAATTTAGAATAACTTCTGTGTCATAACTTGTGGCTTGCTGGTCTACGGCGGCACGAGTTTTTCTTTTTTAGACCCAATTTTGAATATGCAACGAAAAATTGTTCGCATGATCTGCTTCAAAAGGAAATTTGATACCATTACTAAATTCTTTTCTGATAATAAAATACTGACAGTTCATGAGCTATATGTGTACGATTTGATGAAGTTTTGCTTACGATCATTAAATCAAAAACATCCAACTTGTTTTCTCAATTCTTTGTTTACTTTAAAAAATTTTGCCTATAATACGCGAATTTCAGAAGGTCGAACATTTGTTCCACCATTCTGTAAGAATAAGGTAAAATCATGTTCTTTGACTAATAGGGGTTCAAAGTTATTGAATATTATGAGTATAAATAAGCTCTTACCTGAAAATATTGGATTGATGTCAAAAAATGAAGAATACAGTTTCGTCCATAAGTTTAAAGATAATTTCATTTGTGGCAATTACGAGTTGGTGCAAAACATATTTCTTTGATTTTTTTTAAATGGTACCCGCTGGCTAAATGCTATCAAACAACCATTCTAGGGTTGCGATTCTATGCTGAAAATATGATCCTCCAAATCCTTGTAGTTTTCGAGAAATCGCATTTTTTAGAAAATTTTTAAAAAATGAAAAAACTTAAAATTTTTTTTTTTTTTTAAATATGTTTTCTCAAATTCTTAGTTCGTCAGCTGGAATATGAATTGGCCGAAATGACAGTACTAGATGTAATAACTATTCCTTAATGAGAGCTTAATTTTAGGGGAAAATAAATTTTTCCCCACAATCCTATTTTTATTCGAATATAAATTTATCTTTATTACTTAGTTGCAATCCTAATTTGTTCAACGGGTAGACGTCAAGTAGGCACATACTGCGCCTTTTGTCTATCCCCTCCATTTTGTTGATTTAATAATTTAAATAAATTGATGCTTGTATTATCAACTATATGGAGAAATAAATTCTTCTTCTAGAATGAATTTCCGCCTACGCTACGCGTTAATAGACAACTCATAAACAGAGTGTGATTAAACCAGCCGAAAATGCTCGGAGTATATAAGCCGACCGAAAAGTTACGTCATACCAATGAAATTTGCAAGTTATTCGTAACTGTTGCATAATTGTTAACATAACTATTATTTAACAGTTACATATTTCCGGCTAGTTGATATACCACCTCATACTTAAGCGAGCAGTAATTACCCTATCTATTTATTTGCAACATCATTAAAAAAACTTAGCGAAATTTCCAAAATTGCTTCTTAAACCCGAACAAAAAATTCCCGAGTACAATAGTTCCTTCACTTTCTTCAATAGCCGGAAAGACAAGGTATCAACCGTACAATCCTCCCTCCCCCGGTGATTTGTTACCCGGGTATTTGTTACCCAACTACACAACTTGAAAATTGATTCTTTAGAAAGTATGCATTTCGAACAAACGCTCAAATAAAAATGGTTTCAGTTCTTATGAGGGATTGCCTTTGAATGATGTTAATTACCTAAACTTATGTATTTTCAATCAATTTTCTCTAACTAAACTGTTAATTTTGCTTATATCTAGGCTGCACTCAAATTTATTTCCTCAAGAACCCTATCCCTTTCTAAATCGATTTGGGGGGATATTGTACGGTTGATCCAAAACAAGTCTAAGTATCGAGGTGAAGGTAAGTTAATTATATCAGTCGTCATTGAACTTGCAAAGAAAGTTTCAAGAAAAAGTTGCGGTAGTGTAGTTTGTTATGCAGCAAATAAATATTCAATATATCATTGCATTAAATTTTGTTTGACATATATTTTTATGAGTTTTGATATATTTGACATGATCGCGACAATTTTCGCTTACATAATTAGGTTCAATTTCATTTTATCTACCATCAAAATTAAACCTTAATATATTTCTCTGCCCTTATGAGCTGCGTGAACTACTCTACCACACAATAAATTAATAAGTTAAACGAGTTTCTACGAATAATATCTAACCGTGGAATATTTCTTCTCCTGCACGTGGCAGTAAGCGGCCACTTGGCTGCTCAACTCCCCCAGCTTCCTCGACATCTCTGAGTGGGTGGTGCACTCTTTCTCCACCTCCTCGCCCACCACCTTCCACAGGGGGTAGAACGTCCTAAACCCCAAACAACCAATTCATCAACATGGGAGCTAATTTGTGCCTGAGTTTACCGTGAGTATAACCAGGTCAGTCTTTCACATTTACCTTTCATAAATAGCCACCAACACTACTGAAAGCAGATTGAAAATTAATCGTTAACTTTACCCGCTGTCGTTGTGTCCGAGTGCAAATTTGGCCACCTTGTGCAAGCCTTTCGAGTACAAATCCTCAAGTGTAGCTCTAAAACACGTAGAACGATATTTCATAGCCCAAAAGATTGTTTTGAAAATTATCTGAATGTTTTTCCATGTATAATTTTTTTGTAATGAAAAAGAAAAACCATTTAACAGCCAACAGATGGTTGAAAAAGGGTAAAAGAACACAAAGAAACCAAAAAAACTAGATTGAAAATAGCTGGAGTTTTCGAAATTCATCGAAAAAAATTTATCACGTTTCAAAGCCTTTTGAATTTCAAGAAATGTTTATGATTGACTTTTTTTCTTTAAGTTATCCCATTTAGAGAAAACTAGATCAATGGGTATTTTTTATTCCGCTGGAAGTTCAGAAAAATAAAATCCAATTTGAAACGCGTCCAATTCGCGACTTTTACACTTTGCTGTTCAATAGCGGAGTTTGCCTTCCCTTTTAACTAAGGCAATGAACTGAACTTAAAAAGAAGTCAAAACTCAAACCACGAAAAATCAGCTTTGAGCGAGAACACATTTTGATTTTCCCTACAAAAACAACCAAATCATCACGTCAAGACCCAGAAGCAAAAGTCACTTCGTTTTCACAGTTAATCACACAAAAATAAGTATCATGCTTAAAATTTTTATTACACAAAACAGTGTTATTTGCTTTTTTAAACACTTCGGTTTTATACTGATATTCAGATAAAAACGTATTCAACGACCTTTTGAGCATAATTTAAAAAATAGGATTTGCAAGAATCATTGCAAACATTAGGAGTGGTTATCATTTATTAATTCTAGAACTCCGCAGTCAAACCTACCTCTGTTTGAGAAAGTCAGCCAGCTCTTTGGACGAGTCCTTTCCATAGTTGAGCGACTGGAGTAGCACATCGTAGCCGCTGTTCTTGTCGCCCCAGAATTGGTCCTCAAAAATAGACATTGTCGCTTATCTCCTTCCGCCGAAAAAGAAATCCAAGTTAGCGATCCAGTGCAACCCTGTCCAAACTTAAACACTTTCCATATCCATCTGAAAAAATTTGCAAAAGAGACTCGAGATACTCTCAAAATCCTTCAAGAGACTTGACATTCTACAGGAATTCTTGGAAACTTATCATGCCACTTACAGCGAATATCCACTTGTGCTAGAGGGCAAAAAGCGTTTTTCGCCCCCACTAAAGAGTACTAAGGCAATGTTCAATAACATAAACAAAAAACTCTTGCAATGGGGTCTTAGAATAGGTCTACAGATAAGAATAGATCTACACAAAAAACCTTCACACTTCTTAAAATACACTTTGAATAGATCTAAAAACAATCATTTACATATTTAATTTACAATTTACAATAACGATCAAAGTTTATTTTACAAATTATGTTCCAATAAAAAAGAGATGGAACATGGCAAGCAGCAATTTCCATGGTGAGCACATAACATATCCCGGGTTGCCCAGCATAGAAGATAATGCGCAACCATGCACATCCATGCATGATTTGTATGGAAAATGACTAATCATACGTAGCACATACGTTGGTTTCGAAAACCCTCAGAATAGCTTTTCATCGGAGTAAAATAGTAATAAAACGGTTTCTCATCGTTATGCAAGCTGTTGGTAAAATATCAAAAATTTTCACCATGCAAATCATACGTCGCAACATATATGGTGCTACGTATGGAAGAGATTTTTCACCATATTTTTTTTCTCTAGAAAACCGTAAAATAGAGGTTAACTGACAAAAATGGCTGAGAAAAAGTATCTGAAGTGCAAACTACAATTTTATTTAGATTTTAGTTTTTTTTCTACCATGCAAACCATACGTCGCACCATAAATGGCGCTATTTATGAAAACGATGTTTACTTACAAAAACAACTTTAATAGAGCAGGCAACAGCACAACCAAAATTGACGAAATTTTTGTATATTTCGAGGTTTATTTGCATTTTCAAATTTTGAGGGGGTAAGCTGAGAACTTACTTTTTGGGAAAAAATGCGTGAAGATTGGTGAAAAATGTTTTATTTTCAATTAGTAAGAGGTTAACTGACAAAGGTTAACTGACAAAAATGGCTGAGAAAAAGTATCTGAAGTGCAAACTACACTTTTATTAGATTTTAATTTTTTTTCTACCATGCAAACCATACGTCGCACCATAAATGGCGCTATTTATGAAAACGATGTTTACTTACAAAAACAACTTTAATAGAGCAGGCAACAGCACAACCAAAATTGACGAAATTTTTGTATATTTCGAGGTTTATTTGCATTTTCAAATTCTGAGGGGGTAAGCTGAGAACTTACTTTTTGGGAAAAAATGCGTGAAGATTGGTGAAAAATGTTTTATTTTCAATTTTCTTAAATTTTTCTCATTCCAGAGCAAAGCTTTATTTGGTACGTCTTGAAACGATTTACAAACAAAACTCTGTTTTGAACATACCGTGTCCAATTACCACAAGATATTTTAAAATTTGGATTTTTTTCAATAGTAATTCAATTTAAAAGAAACATTGAAAAATTAACCAAACTTAATGTATTCTGTTGCCCTTTAGATTTTTTTTCTTACAACATTTAAGGGAGTGAACTGAGGTTCAAATGTTTATTTGAAACAATCACCTTTTGAGGTGAATATTGGTTTAAAAAAATATTGATCTTTTGAGGTTTTTTTAAACTTTCATCAACTTGAAAGCAAACCTTATCCTTTTATCAGATACCTTTGGGAGGGCAAGCTCAAATTTCACAACAGAGTTTTTTTTATTTTGGACATCAAATTTTTTAGTGCTTTTTTCTATAAAAAAAATCAAAGCAAAATTTAAAAAAAAAAAAAAAATTAAAAACAAGCAAACGAGTCAATCTTAAATCTTTTAGCTAAGTAATGAATTTCAAAAATTTAGGTAATTCTCATGCAACATATCATGTTTTCCTTGCCTTCAGAAGGGTTAGCAAAGTTGCTGCAGCAATAAATAGATAGTGCGGGTTGTCTTCACTAGAAAAAGAACAGGCAACCGCCTGCATATTGAACAATTTGTTTGGTTTAAGCAAATACAAAAGTTATATATATTTTTTTCATTTTGTTAGCTTTTGTCGCGTAGAACCTTTTGAATCAATCTTATGCATCAAAAAAACACTTGCAAATTTCAGAAAACTTCTTGTGTTATCATGAAGGTTTTTTTAAATCTGAAAGAACCGAAACAAAAATCCACACAAAAACATCTTCGATAACCTCACAAAAAATAGCAATAACATCAAAAAAATAGTGAAATGGCATTTCAAAACTTTGACTGAATAAGTTATTCTCTCTAGAGTCGACAAAAAAATTAATTGAAGGCTGATGAAGTACCGAGGAGAGGCTCGTAATTGTTTTAAACAAATCCCCTAATAAAATGATTATTGTTCCCAATTCCTTCAAAATTGACAAAAACTAATTTCAACTAATCACAGGAGTCTTCTGAACACTTTTTTTCAGGAAGCTACAAGATAGTTTTTTTTTCAACAAAAATTTTTGGCATATCATAAAATTTTGTTTTGTTTAATTTCAACTTTTGAAATATCATTCAGACACGATTTTTTTCTCGTTTTTTCATTGTTTTAGACATAAATTTTTTGAATCAACTTACTCTGTTCATTGGAGTACTAGCAGACCTTAAATCAAAACAAGAGAAGACACCCATTGTTATATTATCTGGAGGCAAAAATTTTGACATCTGCAAAACCGGAATCGAAATTCCACACAAAAAAATTCTAGATCGTTTTTTTTTTATAAAATCACTAGTAACAACGTAGGAAATGAGCAGAGAAACAGATTCGGTTTTTTCTATTGAAAAACAGATTCAGTTTCACTAATTCCGTTTTTTTCTAGTGAGCTGAGAAAAAGATTACCTGAAAGCTGATTAAACACAGCTGTGAGGCTTTTCCACTAATTTATTTACAAAAACACGTGTTTTGTTCTCAATTCTTTCAAAATTGTTGAGAAATAAGCCTTACTGATCAAACAATGTAGTGAAAGGTTTTTTCTAAAGCAGCATGAGTGTTCTACTATTTAGGAAAAAAATCAGATAATTACCTGCATATTGAACTAGTTTAGTTGGTATGAGTAAAACCTTTGAAGCATCATTACGACACAAATGTTTTTTTTTATGTTTTGCTTATTTTTCGGCTAAAACAATTGTCCATCAAGCTTTCGCCATCAATGTTGCACTTCCAGATCATAAAACACTATGAAATTTTTTTGGCTGTTTCGAAGAAAAACTTTGGATCTTCTGAAAAAACGGAACATTGTTTCTTCACAAACATTCATTGATAAAGTTTTATAAAGTACAGCAACAATCTAGGAAACAACCGAACTGCCAAATAAAATCATCAGGTCAACTAACGTTTGTTTGAAGATTTGAGCCAAAGAAATTTTTATCAATGATGAGTTACCAAGGAGAGGCATAAGCTTTTTCGATCAAATTGTCAACAAAACATTGACATTTGTTCTCAATTCTTTCAAAATTGTCGAAAATCAGGTCTCACTCATCGAAACACTGTGGTAAACACCAACTATATCCTATTTGGAGAAAATCCTTGAAAAAAAATTCTAAAAAACACAGAACAAGAAAGTTGGTTTTTTTTCTTATGCCCAACAGGGTACGACATTTTTGTCATTCCCTACCCAAAAGTTTTTTTTTGAGAATTCTGGCTCAACAATACTCAAATCTCTTGAAAGATGATGAGAAAATCCTGAATTTTTATAAATATTTAAGTACAAATAGACTCCTCAGCTCTCTGCGAGAACTTATTGCGAGAATCAGTCCGAAAGTCTTGTTTTTGGAGTACACGATCTCAAAATGACCATTTTTGTCGTTTAAATTCGCTATTTTTTTTAACTCACTGTTTGTTTTTTGTCCATTTTTTTGCATATGTAGACACTTGGTGTGGCTTTGTTTTGATATAGCAACCGTCGGTTATATGTTCCTAGTTTTTGGGTTATTATTTTTTTAGTGAAAAATGGACTTTTTTTGAAAAATTATGGTTCGTCCCTCGTCTTTGCTTATTTCTCCTGTCTCGAAACTTTTTTAAAAACTGGTTGTTTTTATCGATAGTCTAATGTCATAGCTTGATTTTGATGTAATGTTCATTGGTAATTTCTTCCTCGTTCTTGAGTTTTTAATTTTTAAGTGAAAATGCTTTTTTTTTTGAAAAATTGTGGTTCGTCCCATGGCTTTGCTTTTTTCTCCTCTGTTTCGAAACTTTTTTTAAAACTGTTTGTTTCTGTCAAAATCCTAATAACATAGCTTGATTATGATGTAATGGTCTTATTTTAATTCTTTCTAGTTTTTGCGTTATTATTTTTTTAGTGAAAAACAGTCCTTTTTGGGAAATCATGGTTCGTCCCACGGCTTTGCATATTTCTCCTCTGTCTCAAAGAGGTTTTCAAAACTGTTTGTTGTAATCAGTAGCCTAAAATCACAGGTTGATTTTGATGTAATGGTCTTTGCTTAATTCTTTCTTGGTTTTGCAATATTATTCTTTTAATGAAAAACAGGAATTTTTAAAAAATCATGATTCGTCCCACGGCTTTGCTTATTTCTCCCGTCTCAATTTTTTTAAAACTGTTTGTTGTTATCGATAGCGTAATATCATAGCTTGATTTTGATATAATGATCTTGAGTTAATTTTTCCTAGTTTTTGCGTTATTAATTTCATAGTGAAAAACAGGCCTTTTTGAAAAATCATGGTTCGTCCCACGGCTTTGCTTATTTCTCTTGTCTCGAAAAATTTTTAAATTTTTTGTTGTTATCGATAGCTTAATGTAGTAGTTTGATTTTGATGTATTGGTCTTCAGTTAATTCTTCCTAGTTTTTGCGTTATTAGTTTTGACGTGAAAAATTGTCTTTTTTTGAAAAATCGTGATTCGTCTCACCGCTTTTACTGATTTCTTGCCTTGATTTTTTTTAGAAAAAATCATTTGTTGATACGATTTAACCCTAACAGAAAACTTATTTTGATGTATCCTTGTTTTGTTAATTCCTTCTTGTTTCCGGATATTGGTGTTT